GCCACCCTGTTTTACTCCTAAAAAACCAGCAGTAGTCACGCTTCTTTTAACATTCGTCCAAAAAATTGCGCTTTTTGGAATATAAGAAAAAAATGGCTTACGTGATAAAGATTTATCTCGTCTTCCTCACCAGTAACAACTTCAGCATCTTCATCTTTCGCCGAGTCTGACGCATCTTTCCCGGGATCTGATTTCTCTTTATCGTCGCTGATTGTCGAGTACGAGGAGGACGATGTTCGTGCACTGTCCTGCACAATATTGTAATGCAAATGAAAAAATATCAAAAAATCACGAAATACTGAAAGAATTTCCGAATTTCTTCTAGCATAAGTCAGTAATATTTTAAAGCTATGCCCATCATCTGTTCAGTACCACTGTGATGAAAACAATGATATATAAATAAGAAATATGGTCACTGATGAAAGCTAAAGAGCAAAACGAAAACGCTGGCTATGATGGAGGAAGAATGGAGCAAATGTGGCTGAAATGGGTAGCGATATCCGGCGTCTGGTTGTTGGGTCGCATGCGTTGGGGAGTAGTGGACAGTGGGCCGGGTTGCAGGAAGATAGGAATATTGTTTGGTAAGTGCCCCGATACAGCTCAAGGACCACGGGCTGGGGACAGAAGGGAGGGGAACATGCTAATTTTATGAAGCTGATGCTTAGGTAAAGCTCAAAGCTCTCAGCTTCACCTGAGCATCAGCTACTCGATCTTTCAGCTTTACCTAAGCATCAGCTTCATAAATGGGGAAGTCCTTTGCTAATAACGGGTTTTTCGTTTGCTACCCGGTACGTCTGGCAAAGTGCCAAGCGGTATCGACGAGACTCGCTGCGAAATAGCGTTGGTGAGGATGTTGGAGTAAAACGGTCGAGGTGCGCCGAGTTTTAGCATAATTGTCGTTGAAGCAGTAAGACTCCGTGTCAGATAGGGGGTGCAATCAATATCGGTGCTGACATCATGCAAGAAAGTAAAATATGATAAGATGGACGCTACGTATCACCAAAAGCTATCTGCACTAAAGTACTTTACTAATCAAACTAATCTCTGAAGAAGTGGCGCACATAAAGTGACACATACATAAAATAATTGGCCAACGGACGAGCATAGTTCCCCGCAGATTTTTGTCGCTAACGGCACCGTTTTTTCCGGCAGAAGCTTCTAGCTAAAAGTATTTTAGACTGGCCGCTAGGACTGTCAGGAAACATCCTTTCAAATTTCAGTCTTCTAGCTTCTCAGGTTCCCGAGTTATCAACTTATCTGAAAAAACTTCCGCGGGTCCGTACGTGGGTATCACGTGTACTCGAGCAATGGGTTTGGGCTCAATAAGACTTAGGTGGACGGGGAATATCCTCTAAAAATTATAGCCTTCTAGCTTTTCTGATTCGCGAGTTAGCGGCTTACCCGCAAAAAACTTTCGCGAGTCTGTAAGTGGGTACCACGCGGATAAGGGCGCCCATTTTGGAAATTGGGGCCTGTACGTCCATGTAGATTAAGTTCCCAAAATTTCACCTATAGCTTATGTAGGTTTTGAGATGAAAAACCGTGACAGACGCACATACACACACGCACACACAGACAACTCGTCAATATGCGTTTTCTGCATTGCGTAGCTGCAAAAAATACATAATAAATGAAAGCATCTCACGATCCCAAACCTTTCTACAACTACGCCTGACCGTCAAAACTTTCCAGTAAAACAGTTCTCCACAACGGCAGCTATCCGGGGAGTCCTGCTATTGCTGATAAAATTCAGGAAACTTACATTCAGGGATTCTTTTGATTTTTGATTGTCCACAAAAGAAGTGGGCGATTTCTCCGATTTCGGGTTGGTAATAAAAGATGACGAAGCACCCTTCTGTTTGATTTTTTCAAAAACTGCTGATACTGTTATGGGGTGCTCCTCCTTGGAATCGGTTCCCGATGCTTCGACTCCCTTCAATATGCTGCTAATGCTTGACTCGTTCTGCAACTGTATCAGATGATACTAACAGCTGTAATTAGAGGGTGCTAAGAATCTCAAATGATCAAATACCATCGGGGAATTGTCTATAATCCTCGATAATACATACAGCTGCATTACTGCTAGCGAGGGATGAACTCACAAATCATCTCCTGCCGTCTTCCTCTTTACATGACTTTTCAAAATGTCCCATATCAACAACCCTACTATCTTTTCCATCATAATTCATTTATTGCTTCCAGCCCATGTAGTTCTGTGTTTCTGACTGTTCAGAATCGTAGTTACTTCAGAAATTATGATTCGGCCTACCACCGGTTGCAAAAAAACTTAATTTTTTATCGATTTAATCCACTTCGGCCACCCCACAGGTCCACGTTCTGAATCAGCCTTCCAATGGCCGTAACTTATCACTTCCGTTAATTTCCGTCCTTCCAGAGGGGAATCCTGACTGGGCTAGATGCCTTATAAATATCTATAGACAAAAAAAGTTTGATATTGCCAAACTAGAACGCTGTGTTCTAAGACTTTGCTTCAGGAACCGATCGGTACTGAGTAAATTCATCCATCCCGATGATGTAGGAATTAAAAACTTAGTTAGTAAGTTATTCTCATGAACGTTGCCTCCTCATAATTTACACAGAATTACTACCAGTCTCATATGTTAGTTTTCTCCTCTTCCATCTTGCTCTATCACTTTTATTACTTTCATGCTATTACACTTTCTCTCCTTTTTCTCTTTCTCTTATCCTTATTGCAAATTAGTTAAATGTCTTTTCAATATATGGCGAGCAGGAGGCTGTATTGATGATTCCCACTGCTACCTGCATGCATTCTTCGATCTGTATATACAGCTAAGGGATGAAACTGCATCGTGAAATGTCTTCTTATACATGACACCTAATTCCAATCTTCTTACTCAGTTATTCAAACAGAAATGCTATATGGCCAAATTCCATCGGTAGTTTTTGTGGTCGTTTAAATCATTTGCTGGTAAAAACATACCCTACTGTAGTCGAGGATGACCCGCTCGGCTAATTTGGAGCCAAAAATGAAGCCTTGGGTTTCGATTTTTTCCGTATTCTCCGCATTTTTTTCGGTTTTGTTCTTGGCAAGCGTTTTGCCAAGATCCAACTTGACGGTTATGTCATCAGCCTTGAAGTCACTTTTGCTGGCTGACCAGATTTGGTCCGCTGCCACCGAGAGCTTCGAGGATTTGAAC